ATATTCCAATTTCTAAAAGGTGATTACAATAGGTATTCAACTTGAGTATTTCGAGTTCACAATGCAACAGTTAAAGTTTGAATGGAAATTTTCGATTAGAATGTTTTTTCATTCAATTTTCCAATATAAACTCTAGGTTGGTTTTGAATTAAGATTGCATATAATTTATATGGAGGACATAACGGCCAATGTAAAACACTTTACTTCTACAAAGGAACAAAAAATAACAACTTCATCAAATATGATTTAAAAATAAGTTATTGTCTTTCAGTAGTTTTAACTAGAAAATCGTATCAATATTCCACAAATTAATAGTAGCTAAAATCTCATGTATATTATTACATCAACCGTAACTAAATTTAACCGAATAAGTACAACATTACAAATATTCATTTTTAAAAGAATCATGGCTTGTAGACTGTTTGAGCAAACTGCAAAAAACTTCCACTATTAGCGGAAACCCGATTAGATAATTTCTGACACATTCAAAATGACACATACAATTTATTACAACGCATTTAAAGTTTAAATAACATAATCTCTACTCCTATTATTATTTAGTATAGATTTACATACACTACCGTTTGAAATATAATTCAGGCGTTATCAGAAACTGAAACAAATTAATTTTAATCATGCTTATTATATTTTTTTTTTCATATGGATCCAAAGTATGCTAATTTATCGTTATTTGGGGGTCTTCGGAACACAGTAGTGCAACCGGATTTTTTTTTTTTTGGTACAATTTAGAATTGTGTTTTCAACAAGGCGATTAACCATCATTACTAGTTATACTAATTAATTAATAAGCAATTAGTAATTTAACGCAAATGCTTTACAACTAGGTTAGTTAAATATTTTGCTTAAGTCATCATACTATAATAATCTTAAAATTACAATTTTAGTTTGAAGTGTCATTCCACACTAGCAAAAATACCGTATACACCTTTATTAAATAGCGTTGATTTCTGTTTAAAATACATTGCGAGTCATAGCAAATATTTGACTATTAAGTAGGTATGCAGTTTGTTTTGGAAATTATTGATATTTTATGAGTAAGCACAAAGAGCTATCCTAAATTAGAAGGTTAAGTTAAATAAAATTACTGCTAATGGTGTTTGCTATGTAAAAATCTAAATATTTACAATTGTTTTTATGTTTTTTTTTTGCACTCGTTGAAAGGTCTTCGATGGATTGTTATTATAGTTGGTTTTTTTTTGCAGTAGTATTTTTTCTTAACAAAATCTAAGCCAATGAAAAATTTGTCTGACTTCAAAAAATGTTTTCAATTTTCATTACATAAAGTAAACTATTAAGCATATCATCAATTGATTTCGTTTAATCCCCTCTCCTCAGCTTACTTGCGTCGGGCCGTTATTAGTGTGTAATGGGCGACAGTTGGGCACACCCAAAAGTGTAAGTGATTTTGACCTCGAACATTTATATATTGAAGAGGGGAACCATAAATATTGCAATGGCGCAGTGATCATCGCAGTTAATATTTAATGAAAAAAAGTGACCAAGGTTAATGACAGACGTTTTGAATAATTTTCAAGGCTTTAATTTATAAAATCGTTGCGTCTCTATTGCAACCGAAGGAACTGCGCATATTTATTATTTAGTACATTTTATTGTGATTGCATTAATATAAGCAACGGTTTTAAATTTTGCAGATATGAGTGGTGCCATACACAAGAACGGCGACCGATTTTATGCGGAATTCCCGCTGTCAACAGAAGTACCCTCGTCATAGTTTACCAACCCCCGCCCATAATCAAATGACGAGGGTACCTCTGATGACGCCGGGAATCCCGCATAAAATCGGTTGCCTCTCTTGTGTACAGCACTGCTTATTTGTATATTCTACTCTAATCAATGGTATAAGCTGTGTAAATCGTTTTAATATATTTTAACATTATATAATGCAAGAAAATTATTGTTTGTTTTAAACTAGTTTGACAGCTTTTTGTAATGTTTATTTTAAAATTACCTTTCTTATTACTTCAATCTATAATAATAAATAATTTTATATTTCGAAGCGTTCACAGTAAATATAATAGTATTTAAAATACGGTTTAATTTGATTGGTTCAAAATTGACAAGCATTGGTGTTAATTAGGCCGTATATATAGCCGTAACAATTATATATTCATTAAATTATATATACATATACTAACTTTAAGATGACTAAACCACAATACAGGGATTCTTCTTTTCGTTATAATGTATTGTTAATTGTATTCGAATGACAAAACACACGATTCTTGGTTTTGATCGAATAGTGAATTGTAAAATAATTTTAAATCTGATATCCTATTGTTTTACTCGAATTGCATTGTGATTGCTATAATCGTGTTCATTCATGTTTGAGAACTATTAATAAAGTTTGAGTCACTTAACACTATCGTGTAAATTAGTTACTGCTCGACATAACATATGAAAGGCACAGGGGAAAAACGGTAGTAGTCACATATGAACATTTTTTTTTCAATTTATGCCATTAATTTGTATTATTTATGTCAATAAATTGTTTAAATAAATACATTTTTATTAGAATAGCATTTTATGTTTTTTTTTTTGTTCTCATGTAAGAGGGAGAGGAATTCACGAACTAAAACTACCGTTTTTCCCCTGTGTGTCTTCATATGTATTTTTCACCCTCTAAGTTTATAGCGGCCGGACAATCCGCAATAAATTAGCCTCTAATTATTACTATCTCTAAGAAAGCGTAAAAACAACAACCATAATAATAGTTAAAATACATAAAAAAATGTTCACAGCCGTTCGACGTGTTTCTTAAAAAGGTATTGTCAGTTTCTTATCGTATGAAAACGAATGTTTACTTTTTTTCAGGCTAAGGTCACGTTGACGTTTACCCTCACGACCCGCGTGTAACTTTATGAACGCATACATACGTTGACATACGAACCCATAAAACTTTCCCTTTAACCTTAGGCACCATCATCTATACTCGGATAAATTTGAACCACTCCTTTTCGTATCATAACGTCGAAGCCGAGACATCTTTGCAATTTGTATTTGTTCATCTAGGATTATGTTATTAATGTACTTGCGATCAATAAACATGCGTAATTAGTCATTATATAAATTATAGCCGATGACAGTTGGGAATGGGGACTGGATACACATCATATTCACTGTACACCAATGGCGGGCTTCACATTAATCTTTATTTACCAATCAAATATCTGTTAGCCAATAAAAAAAACTGGATTTATTGAAAAGTGTTTATCATTAATTTCGAAACAATTATTTTCTCAATGCGATCTTAACATTGTTATAATTATCTCTAGCACTGAACGAAAAATAACGTTGTATTCAAAAAAATTGTAGACTTATTTGATAAATAATGCTGAATCCATAAATGTTTTATCAGCAAAAAAATGCATTGTTGTTGTATCGCGGCAATCGAAAACTACATTGTATCAATTAATACATTTATCGAAAAATTGTTTAATACAATTTATATCAAAGTAATAATTTCTATTATCGTATTGACAGTATTTTTTTCATAATATGAATAAATGATATTATTAAAGGTTGATAAATAATGTTTATTCAAATTGATTATCTTTCGTTGAGTCCGGTTTTGCTAAATAAAACAGCATAATATTAGCTAAAAATCGTATTAGAAAGATGTTTTTTCATAAACAGTGGTCAGTGAAGTAAATTATAGTAACGCTTTACATCCTATGCAACGTAAATCAAAAAAAATATTTATTTTTCAATATGAATTTTATATATTTCTGTCTGAGGTAGTTGTACAGGTTTAATAAAAAAGGTAGAAATATGTGTATTTAACTATAAACTATAACCATAGTATTATATTATTCTAAAAATGTTTGTATAATGTAATAGTTGCAAACATATTTAACCTCCACTACAACTAATAATTACTGGTTAGTTATTATATATTATATATTGTTCGACTATTTTGATTTAACAAGTTCTACGGTGTACACTTAAGTGATTAGTTATCATTTGAATTTTCGATTTAAAACCAATATAATAAAATAATATAAAAAATATTCTTAACCATAAAATAATACACTCACTGCGTAACCAATATGTTATTTTAAGTGCAAATAATATTTATGTATATAACATTATTGTTCACCTAGTACCTAAACCTATACAAATAATTTTAAACTTTTAAATAATTATAAAACTTCGAAGAAAGGTTGAGTTTACGCATACTCTTATACCTTTTTAATGCTGGGCCTAACAAACAATATAATAATTTATAATACCTATATATAACGTCTTCCTGCTCGCGTCCGTTAACTAAAGCAAATGGAAATAACATTGTTAAACCACTGTTGCTACTTGCTCTGCATATTCATAGTAGCATAATATATTGACATGAGAACTTACGACGACGGTTCCATGCATTACGAGCGCCGGTTGAAATAATTATTTCGCGTGTGTACTTCTGGTGTATTTCCTTAAACGTGCGAAATGTCCTTAAAAAGTAAAAACAATCTCAGTACACACACGCAAAGACTTTCACGCGGTTGATGATCTCGTTTTCGGCCGTTTTCTAGGGCGGCAGGAAGAATACGCCATAACCTTTACATACATGTACAATTTCCGCCTCAAATCTAATATGCCCATGAGAAACCCTACAAAATGTACACGTTGGGTAATGGGTACAAAACAACATTTCGGTTTATTATAGTTCAAATGTAACGTCATCGGTATGTGTTCCAAATGTGTTCATAAAAAAAAAACAAAATTAATTATTAACAGTCCAAATGTCAACGTCTACCAGCATCACGCTTTTTTGTGGACGGTTTGATTTTTCTTCTTTTTTTTTTTGAGGGGAGTTATATTATCTTATTTGTTTCAATTTACTTTCTCCGATACCAACATATTATACATATTATGATGATAGCTTGGTGATAATCAGCCAGGTGGATTCATCTTGCACAGATGGCGCTGCGTGCTGGCCAGGCTAGAATGCGTGTGCTTCCGTTTGTGGCGGCGAGCAGTTAAGATTTGAAACCGGCACGTGCATCACATAGCAACAGCGACGGGCATAGAATATCGAAGTGTGTACGTTCTGTGAAGTTAAAACTAATGTTGCGTTCATACAGTCTTCAATATTACACACATTTTTAGTGCATTTCGATCGGTGAATATTAGTAAAACATTTCAGTGACATTGTGTTCGGCAAAAAAAAAATTCGGCATTTTTTTCCTTAAGGACTACATAAAACAACAGCACCCGAAGCCGGCTCTATCCGAGTATAAACACCAGGTAAGATAATATCATAATATAAAAATAAATATAATGATAATAATCGAATTCCACAACGCATACCGATTGAAAGTAAAATAAATTATTCCCGAGTTGTGTAATATATAAATTCGTTTTCTACGAATAAATATTAGTAAGAGAGAGACAAGATAACGGCTTACAATTAATAAATAGTATAGTAGAATTCAAAATTCCAAATAATTACTCCCTCCCGATAATATATTGTAGTTAATGTCACACGAGTCAAAAAATTGTATCGTGTAAAAAAAATATGCATGTTTTAAAATATATTTAAAGAATAAGGATAAATTTTTAGTTTTATAGGTTCTACTTTTTTTTGTATACTATTTTATACCTAGGTCAAGTAATCTCAAGTAAACCCTTTGTTCCATAATTGTAATATAAAATATTTATTAAAAAAAAACAGATATAGATAATGTGTACACTAATTTACTCGACAGTTATAATTTCTATTACACATTTTATTAATTTGACTGATAAACCTTGTGATAATTATTATCAGCAAAATTATTAAAATGTGTAATACAAATTATAATTGTCGACTAAATTATCTTTTGTTTGTTTTAACAAGTTTAGGATGTACCATTATTAAATTTCACTTTTAATAAAAAAATTCTTAATACATTCAAGAGTTTTAATTATTTTCGTCAAAAATGAGTAAGACCTTTAATAATCTTTAAATTTAAATAAAGCCTTTTATATTATAAAAAATAGAAATCTTAGGGCAAAAAATAATTAATTTACGAAAAGATCTGTAAACAAGGAAGTCTCAAGGAAAATAAAACAAATAATTTTCCAAAAGTTGCAAATAGTGAAATTGACCTTGTTAGACCCAACTGAGTTATTAGTCATAATTTGATATCGGGCAGGTAGTCTATTTCATAGTAGATATTATTTTCTCTGATAATTAATCTTAATCTGCAAATAAAACATGATAAATGAAGCGATAATGTTAAATTTCAGTCGTAAAAATATCATTAATTTAATATCTTACCACTAGTTTATATTTTAGTATGTCTTAATAAAAATAAAGTAAACATACTATTTTAAAAAAATTTAATTGCTCAAGAGAAATCGCACCGCATGATATGTTATCCTCACGGGACACTCACGCACGACGATAAAATTACTAATCAGATCAAAAGCAATGTAGCCAAATGTATTTTAGTCAAATCACTTCTACAATAAGATTATTATTGATTAACCGCGACAATCAAGTAATGAAATTCGATGATTATTGGTAATAAAAACAAGAACATAATATAAGTACCCTTTGCTTGGATTCCATTTATGACTAAATGTTAGGTATATTTTATATTTAATAATCGTCAATCATTAATCATAAACTACAAAACGCGCACAGCTACTGATGTACTTAATAACAACGAGTATGGAATTACTTGTGTGTCATTAGTCAGTGATAGAGTAGTAGGTAGTTTAGAATGTTAATAGTGCAGTTCTCGGGTGTTATTCGACGTTATCTTTGCTGTGATGTTGGAACCATGTTTGTCGACCATCAATAATCATTTCGAAACACTCAATACGACTGGCAGGTGTGGTGGTATCAGAGGAAAACCGTATTATAATGGCATTATTATATTCAAACGGATTGATATTGTTGTGTTTGTACGTTGTGAGTAAACGAGCGAGCATAATAATCAAACCAATATAAATAATTAATGACGCATGCTTAATCGAAAGGAGCGATTTATTTCTGTTGAAAAGTAAAAGTCGAGTACGAGCCGTTACTTTTCTCATTCGATTGACCATATTAAAATTAAAATTAAAACCTCCCATTGCACGTGCATACTTAACACAAAAACGCACGAGGTGAAAAGCGATCGATATTCGTAATTGGCCGTACCGCCATATGATAATATTTCGAATGAAAGCGGTTCATTAAAGTTTTCGAAATCGTAAATGGGAGATTTTCATGACAACAACAACAACAATCGCTGATAGGTATACGAAAAGGTTCTATGCTATGATTAAATATATATATATATACACCAGCACCGGCCTTCGTATTCGGTATGGATTTTGTCATGTATGTAAATTATTATAATTTAAACGTGATCAAACATACACAATTGGTCAACGATTTAAAGGAAAACGCCAGTGTTATGCTGAGGCTTTAAATCCTCCATTACGACCACTAAAAATAAAAATAAATCTTTCTATACAACTTTAGGTGGTTTAAAACACCCTTCCCAAATAAATGCCCACTCCAAAAAAGTTAAAATAACATTTAATTTAATAAAAAGCTATTTACAAACACCCATACTCGTATAATAAAAAATCAATTATTTCAAACTAATACAATTTGTATAATACATAAAGGATTTAATACTCTGCATTAAATGAGATAGACAAACCATGCGATTATTATGTTTTTATAGTAACTATATTTAATTCAATTAAATTGATAAATGCAAAAAAAAAAATACTTCGTTCTTTGGTAAATTTGCACAGAAATTAATTTTCATTTTTAATCAAATCAGACTTAACTGATTAATTGAAATCTATGATAATTTATGTCACTTACACTTTTAAAACATGGGAATTATTTACCATTACAGAAAAACGCACACCGGGTATGTTTCAAATATCAACAACCTCGACAGTATTGTAAAACATTTTAGATTTCACATCAATGTATTATTCATTCAAAGAAAATTGCCTAAAACATTGGGATAGTTATTTTTATTATATATACCGTGGAATGTTTTCATCTGAAATGCACCACAAATTACCAGTTTCTCTCTAGTCTATATTTTTTTATGGTATTTGTACACGGCCTTAAACTAATTTTGTTCATTGAGAATTCCAGTAATCATCTAAGCCGTCTTATTATATGTTATGGTAAACAACCAACCGGTTTGACGTACAAAGCTCGTTTTTTTCAAATAAATAAATATAATATTATTGTTACTGAAAACAAAAAAAATATTTTTAACTTCTTTTTAATACAGTAAAACGTCTATACTTTTTAGAAAAAATAAAAACATCTCCTTTAACAAAAATATTAATGTACATTATTATTAATGTTACATGTCGATAGAAACCAACATCCATATTATTTATTATTGCCATCTTCTAAGATGCAAATTTCAGCTGTATTGGTCCCAACTTATATTGAATTAATATTCAAACCTAACCGTTTAAAAATCTTGTTTGTTATAAGTGTGTAACCTTTTCAATGATTTACTTAGCTTTTAATATATTATATTATTTGAATATAACGCATATATATTTTTATTATTATTGTCAGTCATTTGATGTAATATTGTGTTAAGTACCGTTACAAAAAAAAGTCCATATAGTTTTTATGACTTTATTCGTATAGTACACATTAGTAGAGTTTAATCCGGAAGAATATTGCTAGTGAATTCACGTTAAACACGTTTCTAGAAGGAAATTGAAAAAGTAAAACCATTTCCATGCAAATAGTCGGTGTTATTCATAAACTGTCGATCAAGGCTGAAAGCCCGAAAAATACTATGTCAAGATATTTACATAACACGAATGACCACCAACAGATTTAGGACAGTGTGTTCGTCTGCTTACACCGATGATCTACATGTGTCGTCAAACAACTAACATTTAGGTAGTAAAATTGTCAGGTCATCCTGAAAAACACTTTGAATCAAATCACAATTACCTACGGGTCAACCCTAAGCCGTCAATTCCCAGACTATTTGACAAAAATACTAAATTCAAATAAAATAGAAATACTCAACTATTAACTGAAAATAAATTAGTGATTATCTTTCCAATGCTCTATTTATTATCCGTAATACGATTATACAAAATAATCTAATACATAAAACGTTTGTAACACATTTATTATGATACGATTAAGTAATAGTGGTTGTTATTTAATATAATAGTTTATATAATTGGTAGTGCTTTTCTAAAAGGTCAGTTTGTATGTTATTAATTTTCTATGGGTTGTAATTCTTTCAGAACGCACTGAACTGCGTCTCTAGACTACTCTGGACATTTATAATTATTTCCAAATAGCACCACTGACATTAAATTTAACGTTGCGCTACTCGACTAGTCCGTGTTTAGCGAAAATGTATTTTTTAGGGCTGGGAAGTATTATTAAAAATATTGATATAAGGTGTAAATTGAAGCAGGTATAAAACCTATACAATTTAATATAGTTTTTGCAATTAATTAACGCCCGGGGGGTTATAGGCTTGACCTTCTGTTTAATACAAGTGCCGTGTGCCGGTAGTGTATAAAACCGTCCAAGGATGCAATTTTCGCGATATAAAAGGAAAAATAGATTGGTATTTGTACTTCAAATATTAATACTGATAGTGAAAAAAACAATACAAGTCGGTATCGACCGAGCCACGGTGGATGAGTCATCGCACGTTGTCGCTTTGAATGATGGAACAACAAACAGGGTAACCTTCTGGAACAGAATATTAATATTATTATCGTGTTATATGAACATGCACAGCGGCAAATGTACCGGCTATAAAGTGTTGATTCGTTTTGCTTCCTACACGCACACGGCAACCCGTTAATTGACAAAAATTTTAATACCGAATAAACAAGTTTATTGGGACGTTATTGTAAAGTTTTAAAAGAAGTAACGAGAAATTCGAGTAGTCGTGTTTAGAAAAACAATAAAAATATATAATCCAGCTTGCTAGCATAGCGTAGCACTAAATTTAAATTGGTACTAAACTATTCTATTAACGATGGTTAATAGTTTAATCGGTCGGTGTGTTACTGTAAGTTATGAAACACTTAACCTAACCGATAGTACCTTTATAGTCATCACAGATGCGACTCGCATGCAAACGTATTGTGATTAGGAGCCCTTTAGAGATCATTTTGAATCCACAATAAGATATAGACGTTATGATATTGAACACTTGCAATTTTCTAATTATAACGTTCGTTTTTTCAAAACATAACAACATATTATATGCTACTGTTTTCAAGTCTTACCGTCAATC